CGATCTAATCTGATTTCCCCTTTTTGTTACTGACACTGGTGCCCCAATGTCACCTAGTGGAGAATCAAACTCAGTAGTATTGGTTGATGGGAGTGTTGGATATTATTTTGATTAACCACTCCATAATCATGGGGATTTTACTTCTTATGCATTGGGCTTGTGATTTGTGAACAGTTGTGTATAGGATAACCTTATCCCCACTAATGGGGACGAGAACTAAGATGAGATGGAGAGAGACTCCCTATCCCCGGCTTGTCACATTGCCATTCGTATAAATTCATACTAGTAAGTAGAAGCTCTCGAAACAGCATAGATAGAATCGAGAGAGAGAGAGAAACTTTGTTTGATATTGATCCCGACGTATGTGTGAACAGGAGATGGATGATTCTGTGGGAATCAATCGGTTCCAATATTCGTTAGTGTTGAAAAAGAAATGTAGTTTTAGTAAATTAGGTGGGTCGCATAGTCTGCACGAAAACAAAAGAAAGAGATACGTTGTCAACTCGCTCCTTTTGATTTCTTCAAAAAGAAAGAATAATCCTTTAATTTAAACTCTTCTGATGACACAGTTCACTTGGTTTTCCATTCATTCCAGTTGTCTTTTTGAATTATGCGTGATTTTTTTTTATTGAAAACTATATTAAATATAGAAGGAGGTATGTGATGTGCCATGGGAAAGGAATGCAATGGATTAACTTGGGAAAGTTGGAATAATTTCGAAAATGGAATGAAGCAATAGATGAAGAGATAAGCCTATACTTTATTTTAAGAAAGTGATAAGCTCACTTTTGGTTTGGTATGCTTTTTTGAATGGAACCCTGCAACTCAATAAGTAGTAACGTGCCATAATATGAGTGGACAAACACGCAACTGCTGACAAAGATAATCTGCATTCATGTGCATATGACCCAATTAACCAAAACCTACTCTATTTTGGCATCCAAAACGTTTTTAGAACTGGATCGGACAGGAGTAATTCTACGTCCGGTTTTTGGATCAAATGGTTTGATTGTTCAATCTGAATGAATGGCCCATTTTAACAAAAAAATTTAAAAACTAAAAAATGACTTAAAACCATTCTTAGGGTTAGATGGTTCAACCACTCAGGTTATTGATTTATTGACTAAATCAACAGTTTTTGGCCAATTAGTGGTCTTGGGGTAAAATGGAACCAATCGTCCCGATTTTTCAAATCCGACCATCCAGTCCGATCCGATTTTAAAAACATTGGATATTAATATTTGCAATGGCATCAACCATCTACATTCTTAGACGGGATCGGCTGCTCACATAACACGCCCCACGGGCACCTCTGGGATGCTAGGGTGTTCCAGCCTCGAACTCAGAACTGGAACCAATTTTTAATTATATATAATAATTGGGTCTGATTAAACCGATTACATTTAACATCTATAACTACTTATATTTAAAAAATATATATTTTTGATAATATAATCTTAATAAAAGTTATAGTGGAATAGTAAACTGTTTATATATTGACAAAACAAGCGTTATATATGCAGGAGTTATTTCTCTCGCTTTCACGGTAGGGATGCAAATGGATCGGATCGGATTTGAATTAGGATAATCTGAATCCGATCCGATATTTGGATTTTGAATCCAAATCTGTTAAGGATGTCAAATATCTAAATCAGATCCGGTCTAATTCAAATTCTGAACATTTTAACAAATTATTAAAAGAAAAAATATAACAATTTAAAGAAAGAAAAACAAAAAATGTAAATGTATTTTCAACTATTTTCATCATATATATTAATATATACATGCCTTTTTATAAAAAATTTACAAAAAATGCAATATAAATACATAGTCCTACTCAATTCCTATGCAATTCAAATATAATTAAGGAGAATATATATAATATTTTGCTGTACAAATGATTACCTATAATTCAAATTATGGGCCTATTTTATATATAATGCATATGAAAATTTTTGGTTCGGTTTCGTTGGTTCATTTCAGTTTCAACCAAACTTGAGCCTCAATTCAATGGCATCCCAGAGTTTGTTTGAAAATCGAAGTAAGATTAGGTACCTTGGTTTCAGTTCTCTTCCCATTTCTTTTACCATCATTGCCTTGCTTTTTCTTACCCTCTCTGTCTTGATGGCTTTATCTTCTTACCTTTGTATTGCTTTTGAACTTCAACAGGGAATTTTCCCTCCAAAATGACCAAATTAAAAAGCAGAACCTTTACTCATGTCTAACTTAGATGATGGTCTTGGTCTTCTTAAACGAGACACAAGGACAATTATTGGAATATTGGTCCCAGGCTTTCAACGCTAGACAGCCTAGACCAGACTTTTTACTTTTTAATGTTTATTTACTGTTTAGGTTCCGCTTGTTTAAAATGCAACTTCATTTGCACTAGTATAAATGTATGGATGTGGATTCAGCAGGCCCACTTTTGCTTCAGTTTTATTTTACTTCATTTATACTACAACAAACAAATAAAACAATGTAAAATTTAAAACAAAAACCAGAATTTGCATTCAATTTATTTGCACTTCCAAACTTTTGCACCAGTCCTAATGAAATGGCATTGCAAATAAACTAGGTCTTATGAGAAAAAAATTGTCTTTTTGTCTGAATATTATTATCATCATTTTATCATTTTGTCATTTTGTTTAAACAAATCAATACACTTTTTTTTTTTCAGAAGTTAGTTGATTGAATTTCAACTATGCTCGGGCCATTAAAAAAAAACGGAGAAGTACGGACATGCCCAATACAGATTTTTGATTTCCACTGCAGAGTTATAAACATTCAAAATGTCAAAAATCCCTACTCTACACACCAATACCCACCCGTAAATTGACATCAATTATGAGCTAGCACCCACTCCAACTGCACTTTGGGCCTTAAAAATATAACAAACTCCTAACTCAACCCAATCCAAGTTGCAGCCTAGATTATTTTAGACAATAGCAAATTAATTAGCATTTAGTTAACCATTTGTTAGGATTTGTTTTTCTAGAAACTGGATGCAGTAATTTTTAGGCTTCCCTCACTTTTGACAAACTTTAACAGAGCATCACTTCCTTTTCTAAGGGTGATGAATGACAAGAATACCCCCTGCAAAGTAAATGCTCCACTATTTGACCAGGGGTACTACTGTACTCAAATCATTTATATATTTCTTCCCTTACCCATGAAAAATGGGGGAAATCCAGTGAAAATGCATAAGCAAGTCTATGTTATTATCATTTTCATATTTGATTTAAGAGAAATCCTTAGATGAGAACTTGGTTACTAATTGGTTATAACAATGCTGCAAGACTTGAACTATAAAATCAGAAAGGGTTATCATGAACCGAACCGTGGGCACATATTTGAAACCAAACTGGTAAGTTTCAAACCGAATCAATTGGTTAACCGATTTAGCGATTTAGTTTTCTGGCTTTTTATAGTTAGAAATATATATAGTATAAAATCAGTATTTTAAAAGTTGAGTGTAATAATGCATAATTACATTCTATATGTAGTATATGTATGTATTATTTTATATCTAATTTATATGTTTTATTTTTTTATTTATTAAAATGCTAAAATTTGGGATTTGAGACCAAAAATGTTTTTTTTTTCATAGCAGAAATAGTAGGGACTCCATAAATTTACTAATACATAATACATGTAGTATACTAGTCAACTCAGTTATTCACATTTTTTCGGTTTGATTTCTCAGTTTCTCGGTTTTTCATGGACACCCCCACTCATTGGATCGCAGCTTTACTGGTTAATTGGATGATTAACCCATTTAAACCATGAAAAATTGTCCTTTAACCGGGATCCAATTACCCCCCCCCCCCCCAAAAAAAAAAAAGAAAAAAAAAATCACTGAATTGAGTCAATTGGTTCACCAAATCAACCATCCGGTCTACTCCAAATCTTAGTAAGCATATGGGCAGGTGTTTATGAGGGCATTCAACAATTCACCCATTCAACCTCCTTATTTCCTTATTTCCTTATTTTGTGACAAAGACAACCTCCAAATGGGCCCCAATCGGATTTCGGATTAGTGACCATAATCTTGAAGCCTAGTCATGTCCACCGATAAATCGATGACTTCCTCCTTGGAAAGGCATCAACCGTATCACTTATCATCCCAAACTCAAAAAAGTCACAACTCACAACTTTATTTTCTATTTTTTTTTTTTTTTTTTTGGTATTGATTCGTCTTTGCCCCCGTAGGGGCTGTAATTCAATTTTCATGGCATAATAACACACTTCTTATCTAACAATATTACACTCTTTTCAAAGGTGGATTTGAAGCCACGTTAGTAATGCAGACAAAAACATACACACCCGGATGATAATTCAGCCGGGTGTATATAATTTTGTCTCCAGTTCATTCAGATCGCTAGTAACGAGGCTCAAAACCACATCTCGTCTGAGACTTACCTAGTTCGATTCATTATTTTCTATTTTAATTAATAACACTCAGCGTGATCCTCAAGAGCATCTACACCCAAAAATTCCTTTCCAATGAATATAACCCATTTGAACAAAAGCGTTCTCTGCAAGCACAGACCTATTTATATTTTCCAAAAGAAGAATCCACGCAACTTGATTACTTGGTTGCCCCCTTCTTTACCCAAATCCCAAGTGTACCCTAAAAATGGCAGACTCATGAACAACACATATTTTGAATTTTATAATATTATAATGTCAGTAATACCATTCTCTATAATTGTGATTAGCAAACAGGACTATGAACCATAACTGCAAATCATTGTCATGGGAATTTGCCACGTGGAAAGGGTAATATAAGACAAAGTATGTTGATGGCCATAGGCTAAACTTGCCACGTGGAAAAGGGTAATATACAGAAACAGATGAACCCATTTTTAGCTGCACCCAGAAGTGAGAAGGGCAAGGAATTTTGTATAAACAGAATCTCTAACCAGTTTGTTCTACATACATCACTTGCCTGGCCTACATTCTAATTCTGCTTCTAGATTATTATTAATTTAGATTTGATTATTTTTGCAGTTTTTTATATGCATTAAAGGAGAGGTTATTTATGTCATTTAAATACTAAACGGTAAACATGAACCAAAGCAAGCTTGGAATCTGCTCTCTTCTCCAGTTCTCCTCCCAAACTTTCCCCTTTGCTTTCTTTCCTTAAACTCAAAGTCTCCTCCTCTTCCTCTTCTTCTGCTTCATTGGCTTCTAGATTCCTTTCTGCAAGAAACCGATTTCAAGGCAAAGAAAAGGTCATCTCTGTTCTTCAATGGAGGATGTAGACTCTCACTACAGATCCCAACGACTGGGTTCTGAGGTAGGACCTCCAACTCCAATTGCAGCAAGTAAGTTCTACGCTCATTTCCTGTATAAAGCTGTTCTTGTCGCAATCTTGCTTATAGTTGTTCCACTTTTCCCGTCTCAAGCTCCCGAATTTATCAATCAAACTATACGGACCGGAAGCTGGGAGCTTCTCCATCTTCTCTTCGTTGGTATTGCCGTCTCTTATGGCCTATTTAGTCGACGAAATGTCGAAACAGAGAAGGAAAGCCAGACAAAAATAGATAGTGCTCAGAGTTACGTCTCTAGAATTCTTCAGGTTTCTTCGGTTTTTGATGATGAGGTCGAAAGTCCATGTGAGTCTGATGAGAACAAGATCCAAACCTGGAACTCTCGGTACTTTCGTGGGGAACCCGTCGTTGTTGTTGAGCAAGAAACCCCTGCTCTTGATGAGCTGAAAAGCACCATCAGTGGTATTAGTAATAAACCACTTCTGCTGCCTGTTCGAAGCTTGAAACACCGGGTTTCACACCGGGATGCTCTTGAATCCACCGTTGAACCTCTTGGTTTATCGTCGGCTTCGCTCAGCAGGTCCAATTCAGGTTCAAAGAGTTCTACTAAAACCAGAAATGGGGAGTTGGGTGGTTTGGATCCTCTACATTTGGAGGAGAATTTGAAGGAAAGTGTTGTCCTTCCATCCCCAATTCCTTGGCGTTCTAGGTCGGGAAGAATGGAAATGAAGGAAGAAACAGTAGATATGACCCCTCCTCTGTATTCTCTCCCTCCTTCAGTTCACGAATCTGATTTGGATCCGCTCGAGTCATGGTCCTTCCAATCCCAAACGTCGTGGTCATCTCGACCCAGTTCGACGACTTCCTCGCCGAAGAAGCTCTCTCCTGCTCCTTCACTTTCGCCAGAACTGCGAGGCAAGAGTGTGGAAGAAATGATGAAGAAGAAGAGCTTTTACAAATCTTCTCCCCCTCCCGCCCCACCACCGCCACCTCCGTTCTATCGAAAATCTGCACTCTTGTCATCGAATTCTAGCTCAGCAAGCGATGGGTCTTCTTATGGGAAGAGGGGCGTGAGGAGAAGCATGGAAGACGAATTGAAGGATTTTAATAGGAAGAGGATGAAGGATATGCGGAGCAGAAGCGACTTGGGGTCTGGCAGTTTCAAGTCTGATAGTAAACCAAGAACTAATATTGAAAGATCATCATCAATGGGAAGATCGCTTAGAACAATTAAAGCAGGCGAGCCAGTTTTGGAGGCGAGGAAAGCTCGAGAAAGCAATGAAGAACGAATGGATGACAAGGTTGTAAAAAGAAAGGTGGGAGGGCCGGAGCAACTTCCAGTTATCACTGAAAAACCAAAGCCACCAATGTCCAAATATCAAATAGAGGAGAATAAAGAATTTCTGGACAAGGTTACTGTGGAATCTGATGAAGACTCTGATAGTGAGTTTGACGACTTCGAAGAAAGCTTTGCCGATGAAGAAGTTGCCTCCAACACTGGCACTAAGGCTGGGGGCGATCCAAATGAAGTGGACAAGAAGGCTTCAGAGTTCATAGCCAAATTCAGAGAGCAGATTAGGCTTCAGAGGATTGCATCCATCAAGAGATCAACAGGGCAAGTCAGTAGTAGAAGCTCGTCAAGGTAAACTTGAAGCTTTTTCTGCCCTATAAAATTCAAAACAAACAATATATGAATTTGAAGTTTTTGTTTTTCTCCCACTTTCCCTTCTCTTTTATGTTCATATTTGCCCACTTGGCTATCAAGGTAATTTTGAAATTTATAGCCATGGGGACGATATGTGAAGATGATCTACATGGGTTTACATTCTCTGTAACCAGCATCTAGATTGGAGAAGTAATACTACTGTTATGTATTTTCATTCTGGTCGGTCATGGCGGGTTGATGCCTTTTGATATTTTGAACTGCTGTACTTGAACCACACATCGTTTTAAAGAATGTGAGTTCTTATTCAGCTGCCTGCAACCTCATTAAAAACCGAACTCCTTGACCTGTGTCTACATGGAATGGAATCCAGTTGCAGTCTATATACATTGCGGAGTCCCTGGATGGAACTGGTATCCTCGTCCAGATAATTTCGCCACCAACTAAAAATGAAACAAAGAACTTGGGTTACTGATCAAGAAATATTTTTCTTCCCTTTTACTTTCTTTTACTTTGTGGTATTTTGGGCAGTTTGAATGAGTTAGAACTTTCTACAATATTTTGGAATAATGTCGTTGGAGTGGGCTTCTTGAAATGTGTTGAATGTTTGTACAAGTCTGGAATATTGTGTCATTCGAGTTTTTTTTTTTTTTTTTTACTTTTTGGTAGATGAATCTATTATTCTTACTGTGAGTCGTGGTGTATTTTATCAAAGAATCCCAAAAATTCCAATCTACCGCAGCCCATTACATCTATTTGTATTTTTAAGAATTTGAAATCATGTTGTAAGTTGTAGGTAGGTTTTCTTGAGGTGTAAGGTTATTTTATCATTCTATTTTTTTTTTTATTTTAATAACAAGGTTTTAGATGGATGTCCTCCACCTCTGATACTTTTGTTAAAAACAGTCATTGATTAAGAAGCAATTTATTTTTAAAGGTAAATTATAAAGAGTAGGGTAGGTGACAATTATCCCTTTATACTTTCATTTGTCACAAAGATCTCTTGAACTTCTAATTTGCATTAAATTACGCTAACAGAAGGCATTAAATTAAGAAAAATACCCATCTAAACTTTTTTTTTCTTTTTCTCACCCATTTTTTCTTAAACCCTAACTGATCCAAAAATTTTGTTGCGCCTCCATTGCTCCTTCTCTCAATGTGAAGAGCTCTCCCTTGCACCGTCGTTCGAGAAGGGAAAAACTTTTGGCAAAATTCACTAGCTCTCTTAAGCAAGGAGCACAATGACACTCCCTTGTAGGTTTATAAAGGCACACCATCGAAAGTATCTCTTCTCTCCTACTTTTGGCATCCTATCTCTCTATCTCTCATAAGCTCTTCAACTCTACTTGGCTATAACCAGCTTGGCCTAGTCGACCACCTCTTTCACTTGTTGACTTGGGCATCAGAGAGCTCAGAATCACCTCGAGGCCTGTGTCTTTGTGCTCACAGGTCATCAGATCCCCCTCAACTCGTCCAACTCACCAGGACATTATCTATTGCTCATCCACCTTAGCTCAAACAACATCACTAGAAAATAAACACATTTGGCAATCCCAAGTTAAGGGTTAAATAGCTTAGGTTGGGTTAGGGTTGACTTTAACCCGATCTAATTATAGTTTTCAAGGCACCATGGCGGGGCTAGGCGACAAGGGGCACATAGGCAATGGACTTTTTTAAGTAAAAAACATATATTCTAGGGGAGTTCTGTAGGTTCCATAAACATATTTCTTTAATAATTATCTATAATTTTCATAAGAAAAATATGAACTTAATGTTAAAGTATAGAAAATCAACATATTCCGACATATTCATGAGAAGAATATGAAGAAAGAAAAGAAATTTCAAAAAATTTATGAGCTGAACCCTGATTTTCATTATAGGAAAAGAAGAAAAGAAAAGGTGGAAGAAGAAAATGTGTTGATTAGACAACATTTTAAACTCTTCATTACTTATTGGTTCAGGCTTTGAAGTCTTTGAGGGTTCAATACAACATTTAGCAATGTTTGTGCTGATTAAAGCCTAACAAATAAGAAAATAATAAAAAGAAGTTAGTATATAAACACACAAAATGAATATTTTAGTTTATTAATGTCTATTTTATAATTACAACAACAAGAAATTAAGAATATAAAAGTATTTTATAACTCATTGTTCAAAACTGCTGGGCGATTAGATGAGACAAGCCTCCAAGTGCACCTTGTCACCTAGGAGTCTCGACAACTATGGACCTAACCTAGACCGACTTGCACCCATGGTTTCAGTTCATCTCCTACAACAACTAGCATCTTCTTAAGCTTAAAAAAGAAGTGAATATGCAACCTTTGATTTCTTGGACTCTTAGGAAACGATACAAATCTGAGTGTCCAATATGATTAGTTAATAGCATGCTTCTAACTTTAGTTTGTGAAGCTATCTTTAAAAATAATTTGCATCCTACTAAAGTCAATGAGAGCAACATATACAGTCTCTTATAGTTTGTAGTACCAACTGAGGACTGGCTTGTTGGTGTGTTAGCTGATTCGTTCTAGGCTTCCAGCATTGATGCAGAATTGAATCCCGCAACCCAAGGTTCAAAATATTGATACGCCCAATATGTCGGTAGAGGAATATCAGGTAGTATCGATAGTTTTTTCTTTTTCTTTTTTTCAAATTTGGTTCAAAGGGGCCGGTTTAAGGTCTGTTCACCCCTGAATCGGTCAAAACCCCGATACACCCTCTATAGAGGCATATCAGGTATGATACATATCGACTGATACAGCAATACGTATCGATATTTTGAACCTTGCCGCAACCAGCACTTTAGGGGAGAAAGGGAGTCGAGGGAAGTTATCAATGGTGCATGGCACCAAATACCAAAAAGAAAAAAATCTGTAGTTGTGTCAATAACACTGTCCTATTCAGGTATCTGCATGTTGTGTATGAGTATGTACATTCTTGATGTAAGCCTTAAGCAATGACGACAATATAGAGAGTGTTTGGTAGTTGGTACCATTGCTGTTTCTACCTGAAACTTTTGGGTTGATCAAAATACAAATTGGTGAGAGATACGTGTTGTTACATCATATATGACAGCCTCACACATGCATTTTTTAAAGTATGCCTGCTTCAACTATAAACAGCCTCAAATAACAGTTGTATGTCAATTTGTATGGTCAACCCAAAAGTTTCAGGTAAAAACAGCAATGGTACAGAACACCATAATGTTCCTAATGCTTGATAACATTTTTTCTTGTCATATTATTAATACAATTGACTTTGGATGTTTGGAAACCTTTACATTTCAGACTTAAGCAACTTGTCCATAATCACAAGTACATATTGTTTGCCACAAATATAAAAGTTTCGGCTCTATTGCTGTTATTTGCTAAAAATAAATGCATATCAGGGAATGTAGTACATGGGATTTGGAAGTTTGAAAGAACGGTTAGATGTGGAGGAACCAAGTAAATCACTCCATTGGTCTCCAGAGTTCCCGAGAATCCTATACCCCTCATTCACCATCTCACTTCTCCTCTCTGACTTGTATAAAGTAGCCGATTTTCCATTATCCCCCAAGTTTCTGCACATGTTGCAAATCAAAATCCTTAGAAACTAGAGAAAATCAGAAAAGTACAGTAATTTGAAGATTAAAGCCTCTAGAAACAAATAAATACTATATATTCTTGAGTTAGAGATCAATATTCAAGATTCAAAGGAAAACATAAAAAAAAAAAAAAAAAAAACAGAAAACCTTAGAATCATTTAAGAGAACTTCAACTCAAGCTTTAAAAAGCATCAAATGTCCAAAAATTAAGGCATATTTATGGAGTTTTAATGACCAACAGACCAAATTAGATTACCTCAATAATTTAATAGGGCCCTCTTGAATCCTTACCTAATTTTTGGACTTTTATTATGATTAGGGGAATGTGATCATGGGCCAGGTGGGACTTTAACACCTATTATAATGGACAAAGCCCAGGACCAGGCCCAGCACTACACAAGCCCAGGCCTACAACTTTAAATTCATTATGTTTAACATTTATAATATATTTGTATAATACGACACATAAACATAATATGTATAAAATATATTTAATATAAAATAAAATAATATGCAATAAAAACATATAAGTATATACATAATATATATACCAAAAACATTTTCATTAATGTAACTCTTTCTTTTTCTTTTATATCTTTTTTCCTTGTCATGCATTGGGAAAGAGTGATAGTAGTATGTTCCTGATTCTCAGAACAAGTTATAATGAGCATAGCATGTAACCTTGCTCCTTCAAGTTTTAGCTCTGTAATAATGAAGACATGACATAACTTGCAACAAACTTCAAATGGATAGAATTCTAAATGAATGATGAAATCAGACCCAACATAAAACACTAAAAATATATTATAATATTTTTCACCAAAAATAATATTATAACATAGTAATATACTTCCATATTTCCAGCATCAATCCCACAAGGTAAAAGAGTCCACTTTCTCTTCTGTTCCCTCCATTTTTAAGACCAGTTATAGGGCACTACGTTTCACTAAGTGCTATCATAAGAAGCAACCCCTGAAACTCTAAACATGAATAAAACTTTAGGATGTAAAATCTTTTCAGAGATATGCCTGTATAAAAAAGGATCTAGACTAAGAATGCCTATGGATACAGATAGATGAGGATATGACTAATAGGAAAGACTATCCAATTTAATATGATGATACCATGCTTTTATATTTAACTTTTTGCGCTAAATATCATTTCTCAATCCTTATATCTTATCAAATTTAATTAAACTTCTAACATATACAAATTTTTTTCATAGCATGAATTTGATAAAGTATATATTCTTATTCAGTACTTTTTCTATAATGCATATTCCAAAAATGTCCATAAAGTATCAGGTGTATTAGGTACTATTATTTCCAACATGTGTAGGCTTTTTACACAACTTCTAGCTGTAATTGCTTATTCATTTCTTTAGTAAAATTCTTCTCTGTGTTGTTGATAAAAAAAAGAAGCTAATAAATTTATGCCAACGGCTATGGCAGGTATGTGTTGTTTGATCAAATTGTGCCAAAGAGATAACAGACAGACAAAAGCAAGAAAACTCAAAAGTGGGATCAGAAAATGGAGATTCCAACAAAATGATCAAATAGATGAATCTTTGGCTCTGATACACAAGAAAAACCTAAAGAGAGCACCTAATGGAAACTGATAAACTAAACCAGCAACTATTAGTCAGATTTCTAACACATCAAGTGTCTAAGGTCTGGAACAACAGGACTGGTGGAGAAGTTCCACGATCCCCATAATTTAGCTCATGTTGTTTCAAAGGTTAGAAGAGCCCCAGATTAAACTTTGATCATCTAAGAGATTAGCATAATCAGTTGGTGTCTAACAATTTGATTTGAGCATTATTTGTTGTTTTTATCCAGTGTTTTAAAAGCGCAAGGCGCAAAGAAGTGCAAGGGCCAATTTGCACCTGAGGCACAAGGCGAGGTGTGTGCCTTTTTGAAGCAAGGCGCAAAATTACAAAAAAGATGCTAAAAAATTTAAAAAAAGTCAGAAAATTAAAAAAAAATGCCAAAAAATTAAAAAATAATAAAAAAAATATTAAACGTAACGTTAATAAAAATATAAACTTAAATTTTAAAATAAACGTTTTAAAAACCTATTATCTAAAATTAGAAAACATAAACATAACATGTAAAGTGTATTCAAATGAAATTTTAAAAATAAAAGCAAACATATAAAGCATTTTCAAGCATGTAAAACCCACGATCTCATTTTTTTCCTCAATTGCATTACTTCAAGTAGCTAATGCGATGTAAAACATATTGCATTCTTGATTCTATCTGCCTTTGTACCATGCCCCTCGAGGAAAGCCCAAACAAGTCCATGTTAGGGTCTTAAATTCTTTGCTCACTCGAAGCTCCAAGAACCCCCCCTATTTGCTAATATTGTTCATTCATTCATTCCAATAAAATATATTCTTAAAAGGCAATTAAAGTTATAAAATCATTATTTTTTATGTGAGAAATAAGAATTTAAGACCCTAACATGGCCATGTTTGGGCTTGCCTCGAGGGGCGTGGTTGGGGGTCTGCCCCCGGCCCAGCCGGTAGGCTCAAAAACAAGCAAAAAGTGCAGAATTTTAAAAAGGTGCATGCTTGGGCTGAGGCACAAGGCACACCTAGGCGCACCAGGCATGCGCCTTTTGAAAGGGGTGTGCCTAGGACCTAGGCGAGGCACATACCCTAAAATGCGCCTCGCCTGTGCACCTAGAGGCATGCCTTTTAAATCACATTAGGGAGGGCTTAACTTGAGCAGCTTAGCAGGAATGGCTTAGCAACTGCTCGGTGTTCCTGAAAGATTACACTGGAACATCAGCATTCAGGAAGTTGGGGCTAGTTTTCTGCATTTTCACCAAATGTAGTTGTTTGGCTTTCTGTGAATTGAAATCCATGAAAGACCAAAAAGAAAATGCAGGGAAACCCTCTCAAACAAGCACTTGGTCTCCTGTGCGTGCTGATGTTTAAACTAACTAGTCCACCCTCCAGGACCAAACCAATGGCAGGTTCTGATATCTAAACATAGGAGTTATAGGGGCTCCAGACCCATGCATGGGTCATTTATTCCTAGACTCAAGATTCAGCCTCTAACTTAAATGGAAATGGTTAAACCTTAAAATATGATCAAATGAAAATGCCTTCCTTTTTTATATATTTTTTTCTAGTATTGTTTCCTTATCAATAGGAAGCTAGACACTAATCCTCCCTCTTGCTGAAAGCTTTACATTTAAATCCAGAGCAAACTTATAACCCTAAGACCCTGAACTTTAGAACCGGAACTATATATACCAAAACATCCCTTTGTTGACACTTTTCAGTTAAGCATCCAATGACTCTAGATACAAATTTTCACATGGAGGTCCATTTGTTTTATTAGGGCAAACTCTTGGTGTCACACAAGAATCAGCACATCCAGCTGCTGAATGTTCATCCCACAAAGAAATCATCTTTGGGTTGATACGAACATATAATGCATATAACATGTGTAGAATGTAGTTTCCAATTCTCCAAAATGGAATTCTAAGCAGAACTCTTTATCAGTAGAAATAAATGAAAGGCAGACAATGGCCCTCCTTGAAGATCAACTTACCCAAAAAAAAACTGACAAGATAATCCTACCATCCCCTAAACTGAAACTTCTCATAGGTTGTCTATAATAGTTCAGATAGCCTGGATATTTACATATTAACAAAAGTCAATTGGAATTGAAGGAGACGAAAAACTGAACTTAGTTTAATCACCAAGGATTTATCAATTTATCCGAAGTCCATAGATAGCATCAAATGAAACAGTCAGTAATGTTCCACCCTTGCACAATAGAAGTTTCGGTTCGTACCTCAGAATGAGCTTGTCCCAATTTTGGAATCCTGCATCTCTCAAATTCTCAATTGTAACACTTCTATGCCTTTCGCTGCGCCCAGTCAACAAGAAAACCTTGAACCCCAACTCCAACACCTCTTCATACAACTTCAAACTGGACTCTATGACAGGAGCCATAGCCTTTTCCACCCATTTATCAAACTCACGCCCATCGAAAACCTCCAGGCTAAAGGAAGCCACCAAAACCCAAATGAGAACCCAATTTATTGCAAAAACCCATCGCCCCAGTTTAAAGGAGGAAGAAACAATCAGAAATTAAATCCATCAGGAACCCATCACAGTAAGACCAAATTGAATTGCAACCACAGATAAAGAATCTCACCCGTAGCCATGGTCGGCGTAATACGGAAGATTGGAGAGCAGGGTCTCGTCGATATCGAAAATCCAGGCATCCTTCCCGTCCCCTACCAACTGGACGCTCCTCGCATAAGCAATCGCCTCCTTCGAGACCCTTTCAAGATCGACAAGGTAACCCCTGCCCGTCACGTAGTCCTTCACATAACCTGCGCACTCTGAGGGGATCGTCTTCCATGGGTTTAAGTTATTAGTTTCAGCAGCAAACCTCCAGCTCGTACATTGTAACAGTAGCTCCTCGTCGGATTCTTTCAACTCGAGCTTCAGACTATCAGGGTATTGGACGATTAAAGGTCTAGGAAACAGGTGAGGATCGAAATTCTCGTGAGCAGAGACAATCGAAGAGATACCCAAGAGGAGAAGAAATCCCAGATGATACATGGTAGGATGAAAATAAAAGAAAAAAACTTTTGTGGGAATCAAAGACATGGTTGGAATTTAAGAAGAGAATCAGGAGAGGAGGAATATAGAGGGCGGGGTGGGGGTGCTTTAAAATTTTTTTCAGATTAAGAATTTAAGATGACCCAATGACCAGGAAACAATTTTCATTTCCTGGGGCTGGGGGAGAGAGAGAGAGAGAGAGATGCCTTGTGAGGAGAGGAATCAGTAATGGACTAATGGAAGAAAGAACAAAGGAGGGGAACGAATTTGAAAGCCGTAGGTAGACTTTTTTGGAGCCAGAGGGAAAAGCTAATGAAACTGCACGGAAATGGAAACGAATATACGTTCACCAACGTGCCGTCGTGCTCGTGAATCCAAGTCATTCGATTGGTGGGCCAATGGTCGGTAGATAAAGGGAAGGTAGATACACTCATACACATTACCGCGTAATTATACCGTAGTAAATAAAAAAAAAAAAAGGCTTAAATCGACGAATCAATAAAAGGATTCGCATCCGTGATTCGGTGAATCTGTGTGAACTTACCAAACTAATTGACTAATGCATCCTGATTTTAGTAAACGAGTGATTTGGCCACGTCATAATCATTTTTACGGACAAAAATACCCTTATGGATTTATTTTTGTTATTATATAAATTTCTTTGTCTTTATATATTACCAACGACGTTCCTGCCTCCTTGTCCACCTTTTAAAAAAAAAGAGAAAATTACTCAAAAAAAAAAAGTTGGACTATTTTTTTTAGAAGGAGCTGAACCTTCTTCATATCTTAAAACTTGAAGTTAAAAAATAAATGAACTGAGTATTGCCCCTTTGAACTTGCTCGTGATAGATGATACACAATTTTTGTATATGTATCATGTGTGTCTATACTTTAAATATTGCAAAGGCAATTTTAAATAAATCCCCAAAATATATAAAAAATACTAAGGTTGCAATTGGAGATGATGCAAATAAGTGTGAATTTAAACATGTAAAGTGTAAAACGGTTCATATAAATTACAAAGTTGGATTAGTTTTGCATCGACAAATTTACTTTTTACTAAATAGACTTTTAGTTGTAATTGATGCAAATACAAATTCCAATAAATCATGTTTTTTTTTTTTTTATCAAAAGCTCACTTGAATGCAAGTTAACTTCTTTTTTATTGATGTACTTTTTACAATTTATTGTCAACGTAAATATACATCAAAGTTTGGTCTTCACCAAATACCCACCTCTCAGTCATATCTCACTGTGTATTAAGAATATCTCCCATGAATAATAATAACATGCATATACAGATATACTAAAGATGTTCCCGATGTAAGGCTAAGACATAGTGTAAGGTCGATCGGTATGACAATGTGAGGATTAAGCAACTCGGCTTAATGATAAATTTAATTAGGTGACGTGTTTTAAGTCTTCCAGCCAAACTGTTAATTGATGGATAGTTCAAATTCAAATTCAAAACAGACAGGTATATATCAGCTTGTAATGGTTAAACACGATTTATAATTGTTAAATATATATTCATAATAGCTGATCATGGTTTGTAACAGTTGAATATGGATCTGTGACTGTGTTTGTAATAGTTGAGTACATCAGTCATGAAGCACAGGTGAAATGACAACAATATTGGTTAATGTATCGGTCCATGTCGATACAAAAACTATCACAAACCTTTACAAGCCCACATTGAATCATTACAAACCGTGCTCAATTATTACATACCCATACCACTCGAGTACTCGACCATTACAAATTGATATTCACTATTGCAAATCGATACATATAACATATTTGCCTCTTTTAAAGTTTATAAATTATCACATTAGCTAATGCTGTAAAAAATTGTATAGATTATTGCCACCCAGTTATACCATTACAATTGTTAAAATAACATAGAGCTCTCAACGGATCGGGTCTGGGTCAGGACAGGGTTGAACCAGTGCTTAATCAATAAGAAATGTCAAAGTCCTGAAACCAAATCAGACCCCATAAGGTTTATAGTTTTAGACCTAGAATCAAACCGATCTGTTCTCGGGTCTGACCCGTTGGACCTGATTATAAAAAACATGCTGAAAATACTATTCATTTAATATATGACTTGGGTCGGGTTTGAGTTGGTTCAAGATGGGATAAAAGCAGTCCTGGCCCAATAATAATCGGGACCAAAAAAGAACCAAAACTAATCCATCGGTCTAAATCCCGGAACCAGAGCCAATAGAATCGGTTCAGTCCCATCAGGTCCATCAGATCGGACCCAATCCATTGACAGCCCTAAAATAACATGTGCTTTAAGCTTTAGCTATACCTTCTACCTTCGGTGTTCTTTTGATGGTTCAGACTTCACACATAAACTATTAAAAATGTGTATATACAAAATTTATAATAATTAAGACTCAGATTTAGTTTTATTGATCTGTATTGGGGAATTTTGAGTTTTCTTAATGTATCCGCTTGTATCTTAATTTATGTGCATCTTAACTTTTCTACCAAATTTATACATTCCCTAAGGCTTGGTTTGTTTGTAAAACAATTTCATTTGCACCAGCACAAAAGTATGTTAATGCAAATGAGCTAAGAGAAAACTCCGGTTTATTTTTTCTTCAGGTTTTACTTTGTTTATTTGCCTACATCTGGAGCAGCAAAGCTTGAAGCAAAGTAAATCCTGAAGAGGAAAAATGAACCAGAATTTGCACTCCCATGCATATACTCGTGCAAACGCACCATAGATTATAGATACCAATTCCACCAGAGAGGGAGAGAGAGAGAGATGACAAAAAAAAAGGGCCTACGACTTGCTGGGATGGTGGTGACCAATGACCAATACGTTACTTAGATTCCATTTTTCTTAGATTAATTATGGAAACTCATACACTGTTGTTGATACTCATACATTGTCGGAAACGCATAGAGCAGGCGAAAACAACTTCATAGCATCTCTGTACACTTTCATCACCAACTTGAAATCTCAATAGACATGAATGTCTACAAGCCCTCCCAACTTATCAGCCCCCACAGAGCAGCTGCTCTCCCTGCCGAGCTTCTCTGCTGAGACCTTCTGCCGCGCATGGCAGCGCAGCCATAGACACGAAAGCCTCGTCCAAGCTGCCTGACTAGCAAATTGAACCCTGTACGCCAGGCTCAGCTGTGCCCATATCTCGTTGCCGTTGCCCATTACATTTGACTCGCGATTTTCTTCATAGCCTTCCACATCTGATTCCGTGATCATCACAACTGACCCATCGTCAAATGTCACAACGTCTCCGGTGTTTGTGGAACCTGGGGTTTTCACAATTGGCACCTTCACCCAGAAGCCGGATCTTCCAACCCTCTTCACCTTGCGTCGGTAATACTCCTGGACAGCCTGCATTTCACAGCCTCACATTATTCCCTTAGAAAGAATTGGTCATCCAACCAACACAAATGTAGAAAATGGCCATCAATTGTCGAATTCCATGTTCTATTGCAAATCCAGAAACAAGGGCTTACATAGAAAAGTCATTAATATGATTGTATCTCATCAGGATAGTTGCCTTGACAGTCTTAAAATCCTGTAGGATATAATCATATTAGGTATAATTTGAGTTCTCGGAAATTTCCAGAACACTCCATTAAAAGAAAAAGTTAAAAGGGTGAGTATTGATGGTTAAATTAAAAGCCAATACCTGCCACTGGGAGGATGCTAAAAGCACCCTTCGCCTAATTGATCTCACATACTCGTATGCAGCATCAGGAGTCATCTGTTTGTGTTCCACCTGTATAAAAACAAAATAAAATAAAATATTAGTCTGAAAAAGTTTCAATTAATTCATTGTGCCTGATTCTTGGGTATAGTGCTGACCAAGTAACAGAGGACAATAGTTGTACTGCGTCCACGACCAGCTTTACAGTGAACGTATGTTGTTTTCCCACAAGATGCATTCTCTTCATGAGGACACAAGGGAAAAGGATCAAATTACTATAACAGGCAATTCTACGGAGCAACTTGAGTGCCTTTTATTTTAAAGACAACGCATTAAATAGAGGCAGGTAGTAACACGGTATGCAAAGGACATCAAAGCCAAAAGGTACAAACAGTCCATCGCCAAGGCCCAATCTGTACAAGCTATGATATGCATAGGTAATAATAAGCAGATATACTTCTCCAATCTTATAAACCCCAATCTCAGGTAAGATTATTTTTTTATTGTTACACTTTACCAATAAAATATTGCATTCAAAATTGAGTCAAATAGATTTGCAATCAGAATGAAAATAAGAATCGAAATATTTTCCCTCCCTTTTTTGACAGAGATCAAAAGAATTCCATAATGCTCCATCAGAAACTGGATCTGCTACCAACAAACCTCTCAATAAGACACTACAGCTGCACATTGGGAACATCTCCCCTTGAACGACAAGAGAGATCTTCCTAATGTGCGGCTTGTTGGGAGTAGATTCGAACTTGGTCCACCACAGGCACCTCTTGAAGCTATGAAAAACAAAATGCAATGGTTTCTCTTTCAAGTTGTATGCAAACCCATCTTGGTTTCCTATTCTGTAATCCTTGGAATAAGTATGGGCAAATTTCTTAAACTACCCCTGAGGTTTAGGAAATTGACCAACTATACCCCTACTGTGTCAGTATTGTCTTAAAGCACCCCTACTGTTTCTGACAATTGTTGCACAACTCCCTTTCCGTTAACTCTCCGTCACAGACCATTTACACGTGACCTCACGTGTTTGATTTAATGTTAAATTATACCCAAAATACCCTTTAATGGTCGGAAATGCCCTTTTCACTTACGCACAAAGAGATCTACTGTTCATTCTCCCCTTCCTCTCGACCACCTCCCGGACCCAAAATCCCCTGTTTGTCCATCTCCCTTGCCGGTCATACGCTGTTTCTTTCAGGTCATACACTCTCTGCATCCACTGTCTGGAGAGAAATGGATTGCACTCGGCTATGGCACAACTAGCGGCTCCACAGAGCACCCCCATCTCCTTCTTATCAGTCTGAGCGAGGCGGTGAGTGATGGACTGCCTAAGCTGCCATAGACCTCCTCTCATCTGATCGTGCAGTAAGATCTGATATATTGCAGAAGAAAAGGATAAGAAAATATAACATAGAAATGGATGGTGATCTGTAAAAGAATCTCTATCCAACAAACCCAGAAAACTGAAAATGTAAGCAACCCAACCCATTCCACCTCCTTACAAGCCATTACCAACAGCGCCCTCCCCATTGGGGCTGCAGCCAAACGCCCGAAACTCTCCTTTGCAACCTCAGAGCAGCAGTATAAGCTCCATGAGCATCAACAAGGGTGATGACCATCAACGAGGCATTCGTTCTTAATGACCTCGCCCACGCATCTGACCTCGGTGATTCTGCATTAGCTCTCTCGCAGAGATGTAGACTCTGCTCCCTTGCACCAGCGTCCTCCGATTTTTACAAGTTTAAGATCTCCAATTTTCTCTCTCTATTCAGCGTCCTCCAATTTCCCTCACTTTCTCTCTGTTCAGCGCCACAAGCTAGTTTCTGTGGGATATAGCCCTCTGATTTTCTCTCTCTGTTCAGCGTCTTCCGTCTCCTTCAATGTTCCCGGAATAACCTCACCGGCAACAATGTTCTTCTCCACTCCAGCAGCGGTGTATGTTCTTCTCTAATCAGAAACATCTCTACGCCTGTTGTGTTAAATATAGGGTCAAAATAGTAATTTACTATTTGGCTCCCTTTCTTAATGTAGGGGTAAAAACGACTTTTCATGTCTCTGTTACAATTTAACGATGGCAACAATTGTTAGAAACAGTAAGGGTACTTTAAGACAAAACTGAAACAGTAGGAGTATAGTTAGCCAATTTCCTAAACCTTGGGGGTAATTTAAGAAATTTGCCCAATAAATATTGATTTATTTTTTACTAGAAGGGTGGAAATAGACAGTAGTATACAGGCAAAGAAAATTTGAGGCCTTTCAAAAGTTTAGTCTGAAACTCTTGCTGGTTCTAGTGCAGATCATGGTGTAGACGGATAATCATTGAGAGCTTTTAATTTCAATGGGTCTATCAGTGATTTACTGCTGATATTCTCAAGGTTGTTAAGCTAATAAATTAGACCTGTGAAACAGTCATATTCCTGTCTTGGCTGATGCCTGGAAGCGAAAACAGCATCAACCTTAAGGACACTTTAGACACCAATTCTAAGGAAAAAGAAAAAAAAAAGCCATTCAGTTTATAATGTTCCAGGACAGGAAGGGAAACTGAAAAGATCACTTACTATGTATGAAGTCTACAGCTTGGCATATATCTCCAAATGATGGAGCAAAAAGGTAATCCCTTGTAGGAATCACCAAATGCTCAATGCCATAATCCTACAAATATACAGAGAACGTAAGTGAATAAACAAATGAACTTTATTAAAAACAATTAAAAGGATAAAAGAAAAAGGGTTGACCGGTGGTGTCAAAATAATACTGTCTTCTTAGCTTCCGTTCTGAAACTCAATCTAGTAATCCTTTACATATACATCATGACATTTTCTTAGAAATACTCAATCAAGTAAAAACACCATGTGCACAAAAGGGGGAAAAACTGCATAAATAATAGATTCTCAGAAAAAAGAAACTGTGAAAGCTGAAATGAGTATGAATCCTGGAAATGGAAAAGCAGTCATTAGCACTCAACAGTCAACCACTTCAACAAATGTAGATATCAGGTTGTGTGTTGTCAAAACATAGGGAATTGGGATGCCTTCAGAACAAATCAATTGTCACCTATCTGCGAAGTATCATTCACATAACAAGAAGGGTCTCTTTTTTCCTCTTTTGGAAAACATGGAAAATAAAATTAAACAAGCAAGTGATTCAAATGATTAAGAATTCTATGGTTCATGCCAAGAAAATGAGATAAAAGGAAGCTTCCTACTATAAGTTGTAAGAAATGCCCTCACCACAACTTTTAACCAATCCAGTCCGTCTCATTCTCGACATTAACCAAAAGAAGTTGGAAGCCAGTCGCAGTCAACATAAGTTAAGATCTTATAAAAACAATTCATTAAATAAAAGTTAACTAACAAAAAAGTTTGTTTCAGTAGCAAATAATAGATCAGTATTTGCCATATGAATAAATTCTAGAATGATTCATTTGTCTTTTCAAAATTTACAATAACCCAGAAGGCAGTGAAAAATGCACATTGTTAATCTAATGTACTGACATGACAGTAAAGTTTTCAGACTTAAAAGGTTTCAGCTATATTTTTTCCCCTCTTACAATTACAACTTTGTCTTTCATACAGGGATAAGAACAAGAAGCCTGATATTTAGCAGAACTAAACAAGTAAAAACTAGCAGCAAAAAAGATCAAGTGAAAAACTGAAAATGAAGTGAAAGATAATAACAGAGATAAATACTCACATGATATAATGATGTGGGAACCAAAGTCTCATATGGCTCATTTAGTGTGATGACTCCATGAACTCCAAGTTGTTTCAAGCGTGGAACATCAGTTGGAAATGGAACAGCACCTAACAATATAAACTGATAATGAGTGTATTAGTACCATATTTAGAAATGGCTAAATACTTTCAAAATCATGAATATAAAACATAAGTCATTTAAGTCCAAGATTCCTTTAAACTACAGATCCAGATAATTAATTTCAGAATATAACCATATAACTGAACTGCAGCAAAGCTAGTAAATGTTTACATAGGAAAACCCAGACTATCTAAATTATTGAACAAAAAAAAACACCTTAGAATACCTAAGAAACGAGAACAGAACCACATCTACTGATCTACTTGAACCCAAAGCAGAACCATTTACTTAACTACAGGATAATAGCCATCATGATTCATATTGAAAGAATGTCCAAAGGAAGACTATCAAGGAAAATACAATCTAAGCCAGATCATTATAAATGCAGAGGACAACAGCAACTATGCATATTGGACAGGATTAGGAGCGGAGAATTTTTCTCAGTGCCATTAACTTGGTGACTAGAAGGATTCAAACTTGGCAGCCATTAAAGGCACTGAAGAAACTATTAGTTTTGCAAAATGAAAAAGAAGTTATTCATTCAACATGCATTACCAGCAAAATGGCAACACCTAAAAGAAAAAGAAAAGGTGGACATAGCAAAGAAATCTAAAAGGTCTTCAAAATTCAGATGATGCAGAAATGTTGTAGTAGCTTAAACTTGCAAGGGAACCCTTTGAATGGCAAATGAACTGTTAGAGAATATCAACCTATTCAAGGACTCATCTAACAGCTTAAGCTTTTAGGTTGAATGGTTCTTTGAGATGGTATCAGAGCCATTTTGACCAAGTGGTCTAGTGTTCAATCCTCATTACCCCCATTATAATTAAGGATTCGACTATAATTAAATAAGTTTCAGCACAAGGTATGGGTGGGCCTGTGCTTGTTCACGCTTCAAGCCCAATGGGCTTTCGTGTGAGGGAGCATGTTAGAGAATATTAACCTATTCAAGGACCTCATCTAACAGCTTAAGCTTTTAGGTTGAGTGGTTCTTTGAGATGAACAATCAAAGAAAGGAGCATATTAGCTTATTGTGTGACTGATAAATTAGAAAAACATGGAGGCAGCATCCCAAGAAAAGGACTACATCAAAATGGCTGCATGGATGCATGTTTCAATAACATCTAATATCTTAATGGAAACAAGGTCAGATACACCATGGAATGACATAATTTGGACCAAACTGCCTCTATAAGCATTCTAGAACTTTGCATCTACAAGAAAAAAATAACCAAGTCAATAACTAGTTAATCATAATCTTGCAATCTAGACTAGTCCACCACGAAATAGTCCATGGTATAATCCTTACCAATAAACAAAAGTGTCCTGGTGTAGAGGCAACAAATTAATCAGTTATTTCTGTAAATTTATGCCAACAATGATGGATAGCCATCTCATGTTTCAGAAAGAACAATAGTTCTGAAGTGGCCAAGCCCACTGAATAGTTCCTAAGCAGGAATATTACCTGCTTGTTTCACACTCCACTGCATCACCCATTCCATAGTGGATTAAAGAATTGGAGCAAAATAATGATCAGGAGAGAGAGAGAGAGAGAGAGGAAATGGCCTCGAAAGAGACTGTTTTTAATTAAATGGTTGAAGAAGCTTTTGACAGATTGAGGGAAGGAGATGATGGGGAGATAGAAAGAAGGCGAAAGAAGGTTGCAAACCTGACTTTTGAGAAGAATGCAGTCTTGGAGTTAAAGAGGATCAATGACAACAATAAGGTTTTGAAAGATTTGAATAGGATTCCAAATGCTGCAAGACATTTCAAAAGTCAGGAAAAAACATATAGTTTAGGTTTCGAAAATTTTGCCATATTGAATGGGGGTTTATTGGGGGCCAGCCCTATTAAGAAGGTGAAGAAAACAAAGAAAGCTCTCAAGAGAAGTAGAGAGGCTCCTGTTCAAGTTGCTGAAGGATTTGAAGAAAGGAGTTAAGTGTTGGGCCATGTTTATCTTGTAGTCTTGTGAAGTGATGTAGGGCTGTAGCAGAGTCTGGGTTTTGGTGTTTTGGCAGTAGGATGTCTAGTTGATCCCATTTTAGATGTTGGTTTGCAGGCTATTTATTGTTGTTTTATGGGTTTTATAAGGTCTGGTGATTGTCTCCAGATCTTGGGCATGGAGAATTTGTGTTTTTGGAGTGAGTTGTAGTCAAGGGGGTGGCTTCAGGTGTGGTTGGGTCATGGGTGTAGGGTGTAGGGTGGTTTATTTCTTCTCTCTGGTGACCTTTGGTCACCTTTCGTGTATTCTCTCCTTTTTAGTTTTAATAATTTTATTTTTATCTTAAAAATATTTTAAGAGAACCATGGCATCATTTATCACTAACAGAATTTCCTTTTTCCTCTAACTTTTTTCAATAACAATGATCGTAAGACTACTGAAGTTTAAAATCAAGTGAAAACCACAATTTTTAAGCCATAACTGGCTCCATCCTTTCTGAAGTGGTCTATATTCATTCATTCTGATTCTATTCTCTCTCCACATAAAATAATAAAAATAGACACATCAGAACGTAACATACAAATGGAGAATCTCTGTCACAATATTACTGACTGAAATCTAGAATTATGAAGACTTTTTTTTTGAAAGGTAATATGAAAACATATTATCGTCAAGAAGAGATCTGCTGCACTACTTGCTTTGTTTTTGGTATTTCTTCAACTTCCAATTACAGCTGATATGTAGAGAGACTGATAGTGTAACATCCCAAAATGTCATGCATGCAGCCCCAAAATGACCTGACTTTTAATTCATGTAACTAAAGTTTCCTAACATCTAAAGGATGGTGGTCTCTTGGGGGCGGGGCCATGTAATAGATTTAAAGGGCCTACAAGAAAAAGGGAGTGAAAGCCAAAAATAAAATTCAAAGAGGTGATGAGAAGAATGGCCGAATTTTTAAAGATTGGAGGAAGATTAAGAAAAGCAAAGTAAAAATGATTCCAGAATCTCAAGGAGAAGAAAATATGTTAGACGAGAGTGAAGAAGATGAAAAGATGATAAGATGATAGAGACCGAGTAGAAGGTGATGAGGTAGTTGTTGACCAGGTGAGGGAGGTGGAAGGGGAGTTTGATCCTAAAAAAATTATTGAAACAGAGGTTCAAGTGAGCAAAATATTAGGTCTGCGATTTCTGGGAGGGGAGGAATTTGCACATAAAGCATTCTTGGAATTGAAAAGAATTTGCCTACGTCTGTCATCTAATTGGGGTATTTTATAAAGGTTTTTGAATCTAGGGTGATTGAGGTGAGTTTAGAATGGGGGTGCTTGAGTTTAGGGTGGAGTTTTAAGGTTGTAAAAGAATGGGTAGGGGCTCAAAGGTGAATTTTCAACGTTTGTTTGGAGGGTGTTGAGCTTTTCTTTCTTTTTCTTTGCGGGTGATACCTTGTCACCTTGTAATTGTTCTCCTTTTTTCTTTTGTCTTGAATAAATTTTCTTTTTTATTTACAACCAAAAAAATCAGAGAATGCATAAAGCCATAAATGGGTCTCGTCAAGGTTGTTACTATATTAATCAGTAAAAACATTAAGGAAAATAGTAATATCTGGCTCCCTTCTCAAGCATGACATCTTCATTGGTTAAGATAACAGCTCTCTCTATTGCCGTTTTAGGGCCATCTCTTATTAAAAAAATGGCAACTTAGGAGTATTAGAATTAAGGTAAAGGTTTTGTCATCTTCAAACTTACTAATGACCTACACAATTGACATGACGAGTGATTACGGTTTTCTGATGCTCTAATTGTGTTTTCCTATAGCGTATTGTTCCCTCTTTTAACTTACATAAATCAACAACTACTGCCTAAATCCAAAGGAAAAGCGATAATTGGAGATCTCCCGAAAACAAAGATGTCTCCTTGGCATAAAAAATAACCCAAAACCGCATAGGAGAAGCTCAGGCGAACTCAAAAAATAAATATGTCAAAGGATGCGTGGATGTAAAATGTACCTCGTCGACTCCATCCCACCATCGAAACTCGGCCTGAATCTTATTCCGGACAACATTATACAGAAGAGTTGGGTAGAAGAGAACACGAGCTCCTGTTCCAATTAAAGCTCTTTTTGCACTTGATACAGCAATCTCGTTACAGAAAACATTAGACACCGTCTCTTCTTCTCCACTTTCCAGGTCCACTTTCTTCAATTCTTCAATATGCATGCCTCCGATGGAATCCACAGGTGAACCAAATTGAAAACACCTCGTTTACGAAGCACAAATTGCTTTAGTGTCTGCCACCCAAACGTATATCTGGTGGGTCAAAATTCTGAAACCATCATACAGGAAAAAGTAACTTCCGCATCTTCATTCTTAACTCAATTCCCTCTTTCACTCGAAACTCCCTAGTCCTTTTCCCTTCAATTTCTGGCAACCAACACCAAACAAGGTTGATATCTTCTGTAGCTCAAAAAACCTCAAGGAATCAAAACTAAAAGCCACAAAAATCTCTACAGTCCTTCCAACCAAACCAAGAGCACAACATGATCAGCGATTGGACCTTAGAATTTATAAGAGAAACTGAACTATGATGATTACTCAGAGACAGACCGAACCGAAGAAAAGCACATATTCTTCACTGGATTGCACAAGATCTACCATGACTGAACCTGAAAATCCACGCAGAGACGAACAAAGACGATTCCTCTCCTGCAAGAGATTCGCCGATTCCTTAGCTGTCCTTGTCGTGATCGAATCGAACCATCAACCATGCACAGACTTTAAAAAATTCTAGTTTTCTTGTTCCGTCAGATTCTCGTCTCTACCCTTCTCCTCTCAACAAACCCTGGAAATGGAAAGCCAAATTAATTAACTAATTTCTACAAAAAATAGGGGGAATTTAGCCTGCAAAGCGCCATCAACTTTACTCTAATTTACGATATTACCATCGTAGTATCGATTCTTTTCCAGATTCCTGTTATTACAAAGACAAGGCCCCTGGGCCTGGACACTTGGACTGGTGATACCAGAATCAGAGAACCTAGCTCAGTCTCGAAACCAAACACGTCAGCATGATGATACTCTGATAGTGGGTCCCAGTTTCCCAACATCGTTCGATCTGATACGACAGTGCGTCTCGACTCTAGAGCTACAACTTAAATGCCAGACGATTGTAACCGTTGGATTGATTTCAGATGGGACCAATAAGTATGGATTCCAATCTGACGAGAGGTATACGTTTGCTCAATGAGTCAGTTACGTAGAAAAACAATATATAGTAGAAAAATAAAGGGATTTTTAGCCTGCACTCATTAAGCAATCCAAATTTGTTTTATTGTAGTAACGGTACCCTTTGTAATTAGTAATCAGTCTACTTTCAAGGACAAATAGAGCATAATCTTATTACCCATTAATATATTTTAGTTGTTATTTTCAGCGCTTTTATAATTTAGATTATTATCCAGTAATTTGGGCTTTGCTCCCTGAATTATAAAATGCGATAATTTATTAAGTGAATTTTCAAAACTTGTCAATCTACTACCTCTCATTTGTCATTAGACCTGTTCATGTTGCAGGTCCAATACAGTCTAAGTGTCATTTAATTTTTTTATCAATTATTTAAATATTGACAAAAAAATTAACAGTCTCAAATCCTTACATCTTTTATTCAAAAAAGTTGGGGTTACTAAAATATCCACCGAAGACGTAACCTCGACTTTCTTGAATAGAATAGGAAAGGATTTGAGACTGTTCATATTTTATCAATATGTGGATGGTTGATAAAGAAAATTAGATGACACTTAAAGGGCATTGTATCTTTTCAAATGTCACTTAACGACTAGTTAACAGATTGATTAACAACAAGTATTGGATTGACACATTTTGAAAGTTTGGGTATTGAATTGTTGCGTTTTAAAGTTTGGGGATCAAAATGGCACTAAGCCTAAAGTACAGGGTACTAATTAGGAATTTTCCCTATAATTTATTTATAGACAAAAAAATTCATTTTTCCTACCCTTTATAAATGGCAAGGAAAACATAATTTTGAATTTTGATTCTCTTGGTTTTGGATTTTTTGTAAACGTTCGTTTTAGGGGTGGGTGAGATTAGGGGTGCAAGTTGGGCGGGTTGGGTCGGGTTTATGGTCAACCTAGACCCGACCCTAAAATTTGGGCATAAGGCCAGAGCCCGAGGTCAAGCCCAATTTTCCCAACCTGAGCCCAGCCCCCCTGTAATTTGATGCACTCGGGTTGGGTTCGGGCTCGGGTTGGTGAATGAACCCACTCTAAAATTACACATATATAAATATATTTATGCAAATATATATTCATATATTTATGTATGTATGTATGTAAATATGTATGCAAATATATATATGTATGTATGTAAATATGTATGCAACATGTACATATATACACATATATATGTATAAATGTATATAATTGGGCTGGGTTCAGGCTACCTAAGGGCTAGAACCGAGCCCGGCCCGAAAAATAAAAAAACCCAACTTCTTGGGCCTAAGCGCAACCCATGTAAAATTCCGAGTTGGACCGGTTCGGGCTCAAGTTGGGCCTGCCCAAGTTGCACCCCTAGGTGAGATCACTCTCATTAATCATTAATATACATGTTCATGGGCCGAGTAGCTCATCCCCCCACTTTTAGTTGGGCTTTGACATAAATTTAGGCCCATGGGTTCAGGTTTGGGCTCAAAACCTAAGTAGGGCTACAAATAGATAACTTGCATCTAGATTCAATCTAAAATCTAAAATCTAATTGAATTTGAAGACCTCAAATTCAAATTCAAATCCTAATAGACTCAAGTATGATTCGGATTTAATTCGATTTTGCTTTAATTTTTTAAAATAAAAATAATAATTAATTTTCAACTTTTATATATAATAAATTAATATATATATATATATTACATGTTGAATTTACTATATATAAATTCATATATAATATAATATAAATAAATAGCTTATATAATTTTAAATATAATTATATATTTTTATATTAAAATTAATAAATATTACAATATAATTAGATTCAGATTTTAATAGGATTGGATGCAGTCAAATCCAAATTCAATCCAACTATTAATCGGATGCATATTGCAAAATCCAAATTTGATCCGAATACATAAACACATCATTTGAATTCAAGATAATTGGATCAGATGTTGGATCGAGTCATAGAGTTTCGAGTATTAATGCATCATTGACAATAGGGCTTCAATTGAGCTGAGCTCTAATCAAATAGTTTAGGCTCTAATTTGAATCTTAAGCTAAGCTTGATTAGTTATTCAAATTCAAGCTCAACTAATAAAAAGTTTAACTCTAAAGTTCAAGCTCTTGAGTTTTACTCGATTAACATACACAAATAGATAGATAGATAGATATAACATAGTATGAAAATAGATTTTTATGTAAAATATAATTTTATATTCTATGTATAATGTGCAAATACTTCCTACCTTTCAAGCCAAACTTGAGCTTTAATCAAACTAGCTTGAACCAGGAAATAAAGTTTGAATCGAACTCAAACTTGAACTCAAGTTTATAGTATTTTAGTCAACCCGAGCCAAGACATACAGAAGTTTGGCTCATCTTGGATTGATTGCACCTCAAATTGAAAGGCTCACATGTAAGTATCATGTAGGTATTTTAACTTTATGATGCCAAAAGTTCAAAATCATGCTTGATTGGGAAACTTTGAATTCAACCATTTATACCATCTTTTGGGTTATGTGCATATGGGTGTTGGGAGCACCGTTTTTAATTTATTTGGCATTTCCCTTGATAAGGGGTATTTTTACTTTTTTTTTCTTTGATAGCAAAAGAAAAAAAAATCATTCATTCTATACACATAAATAAAAGGGATATTGTCTAAAACTCACCATGAGTTTTTAGCATTTCTCTTAAACTCACCACAACTTTTCAAAACTTCTAAAACTCACCATGTCAGCAAGTTTTTATTTTCCAAAATTCACCTTCCCTTAGTGCACCATTAATGTTTCTTAACAAAGGTGTCCATGTCAGCATAAATAATAATTTTTATGACCAAATCACCCTTGAATGGTGAGTTAGAGGAAAAGGTTTTTTTTTTATTTTTCAATTTTTTTTTTACATTTTAGTGTTTTGTTATAATTTCTAATGTTTTTTTATAATTTCTGTTTTTTTACGTTTTTTATTTCTACTATCTATAAAATTTCCTGTATCTTTTGTTATTTATTTGCAATTTTTGTGTTTTTCTATAATTTTTGGTTTTTTTCTACAATTTTTATTTTCTGAATTTGTTTTTCAATTTTTGTAGTTTCTATAATTTGAAAATAATTTTTTATTTGGTGTGAAATTTCTATAATTTTTTTATATTTTTTGCAATTTCTTTTTCTATGTATTTTATATTTGAAAATATTTTTTGAACTTTTTTCCTTTTTTTCATATCTAAATATTAAAATATATGTATATATTTTATATTTTTCTATGAAGGTTAAAATAGTAATATATTAACAGCCGTTAGTCTCTTTAACGTCAAGTTAGTGACATGGTGAGTTTTAGACATTTTGAAAAGTTGTGGTCAATTTAAGAGAAATATTGAAAACTCATGGTGAGTTTTTGACAATTTCCCTAAAAAAATTACAAATGGATATCTAGTCTTCTAGTCTTCTCCTTAAACTCTCTCTCCTTTTCCCTTTCCTATCCTTTCTCATTGAACCTCTCTTGTTCCTCCGTTCCCTCTATCTAGTCTTCTCATTAGGCCACATGGCAAAGCTCTTAGATATCTCTCCATAATAGGAAACTTCCCAAAACACGTGTAAAAATAAGAACATAAATGATTAGTATGTTGCATCTTTGTGGCAACTTCCCCTCATAGTTCTCAATTTACATGCTACATGCTCCTCTTCTTATTCCTCTTAGTTTACACACTACTCTTCTCATTCCACTATTTACTCATCTTATTCCTCTTTCTAACCATCTTCCCCATTGGTAAGTAAAGTCCCAACAAGAATTTTCTTTTTCTTTTTTTTTTTTACTTTTTACAAAGTATTTAATAACCATGAATCTTTGTTTAGAAGTTTTGGATGCAGCTATTGTAATTTGCTTTGGCAAAAGGATAGTTCTGACCACCTCATCTAATTGATGCCCTAGAAGGTACATATTGATTGCTTTTTTTTCATGGAGCCTCATAATCTTTGTTGAAACCGACTATTGCCGATATAGGTTTTGTTAGGGTTTCCTCCTTACGCGGTGGGATAAACAAAGAGATAAGGCTATAAAGGGAGATAGGAAAATGACAAGAGGAAACTTCCTATCCTAGAAAGGCGGTTATGATTTTTTAAGCACATAGCGGATAAGTTCTTTAGGATTTTGCCACGTGTCCATGAAAATCTTCTTGGGATCAGAATTTTCTGTCCTTAAAATTCCCTGGTAGGCATGCTTACAGAAACAACCTTTTTAAGAGATTACATGTAATCATGTGGGGTGGTGCCCCTTTTGTGCAAATGCCTAATAATGAATATGTAGCATTGCAAATAGACTGGCACCATTGCTACCTGAGAGGCACCCCACTATGTTAGGTTAATCCAAGAGTTTTGATAGATTGTGATAGCGCATCGATCGTTGGTTGTACCACTTATGTTTGTTAGTGACATCGCATATTGTATTTTTGTAATCGCTTATTCTAAGTGATACCTATGTTAATAAGGAGGTTAGTGAGCTAGCTCATCACAGGCGCCATCAGAGGTCCCATATGGTTTGTTAGGTCATGGGGCCCTGCGATTTCAGGGCCCATTGCAAGCCCTTTGTTAGCTCATCACTATAGGTATTGTGGCGGTTACTTCTAGTTCATTACGGTCCACATTGCAAGCTCTTTGATGTTGATGTACATGTACTGACACAACTAATAAAGACAAATAAAAGATAAAGTGATAAAAGACAAAAAGTGAAAGGCAAAGGCCTTTATTGGCTTGTCTTGCTAGCCAATACGCCTTTGGTTATTCAACAACTTGGGTGAGTTCTCTCTCAATTCTCTTAATAACTCTAAGAAAAATATCAAAGAAATAAAAAATATCAACAATATGTGCATCCACTCTTGATGAAAATTTTCATGTTTTCTATCCATATTTGTTGTTGTAATCTAGAATTTTTCTTAATATTCATCATCTAGTTGTAACTAGATAAAAAAAAAAAAAACATTGTACCCATTATAATTGTTGATCACGTAAATTTTGGTGTTCTCTACTATTGTTTATTTTGTATTTGATTGTTTCCCTTTATTACTATGTGCTTAACATTTGTTGTTAAATCTCTTTAGTTTATAAAAGAAAAATATAGGAATTTATTCCCAACTAAATGTATTAAAGCACTTAGCTCTTATGTAAATCATGGAAGGAAGTTCAATTAGAATGATTTTGTTAAATGAAATGAATTGGTTTCTCTAAAAACCAAAAGTCGAGAATTTATTGCTTTCTAGAGACTTATATGCACATATGAAAGGTTATAATGGCAAGTTGAAAGATATGTCCAATGAGGATTGATAATTCCTTGACTTGAAAGTGGTTGCTTTTATTAGACAATGGTTAGATGATTGTTTTATTACCTTGTAACTAATGAAACTATATATTGTTTCACTTTGGAACAAATTGGAAGAGTTATATGAAAATATCACTTATAATAAGGCTTTCTTGATTAAGAACCTTGTAAATTTGAATTACAATGAAGGTACCTCCATCACCAAATACCTTAATCAAATGCAAGACATTATAAATCAATTGACTTCAATGAAAATGGTGTTGGATGATAAGCTTCAAACTCTATTATTGCTTAGTTCATTGCTAAAAAGTTGGAAGACACTTGCGGTATCTCTTAGTAACTTTGGACCTGATGGACTAGTGACAATAAATATGCTAAGAGGTAGTTTGCTTAATAAGGAAATTAGAAAAAAAAATCACTGAATCCAAAAGCCAATGCTCTTCTTACAGAAACTTGGGGTATAAGCCAAAGTAAATCCAAGTCAAGGAAAAACATCATTCTTTCATTGCAAGAAACAAGACCATTACAAGAGTAAGTGTGGGAAACTCAAGAAAGACATTAAGAAAGAGAAACACCATTATAGTTATAAGTGGAGCTATTGTTCTTATAGGTTGTGAAGAGCTTTGCATCAATTTAGCATGCCATGACACAAATTATATTGTTGATACATGTTTTTCCTATCATTCTACTCCTCATAAGGAATATTTTACCTCCAACAATGCAAGCGATTTTGGTGTTATGAGAATGAGAAATAGTGGAACTTCCAAAATTATGGGAATGGGTGATATTTGTCTTAAGACTAATGCAAGTTACAAACTAATTCTCAAGGATGTCAGGCATATTCCAAATCTTTATTTGAATTTGATTTCAAATAGGAAACTAGATGAACATGGTTTCAATGACCAATTTGATAATGAAAATGGAAACTATCCAAGGGGGTCTCTTGTGGTAGAAAAAGGCAAGAGGTGTTGCATTCTTTACCATATATATTATGTATGCAAAGGTGAAGTTATACTATGAAAAAGGAAATCCCAACAAACTTATGGCATAGATAGTTGGGCTACATGAGTAAGAAGGGGATGCAAATTCTTTTCAAGAAAAATCTTTCAACTAGTATGAAAAGTATGCATTTTAATACATGCATTCATTATTTACATAGTAAACCATGGTTTTTAAAACCGACCTAGAGACCGAACCAGTAAGGGGTCTAGTTATCGGGTCAAACGGTCCGGCCATTCGAACCAAACGGTTGGTCCGTTCTAACAAAAAAAAAATAGAAAATAAAAACGGTCAAAACAGTTTGAACGTTTAACCGCCCGGGTCAACGGTTTGTTGACCAAAATCAACATTTTTTTGAGAAATCCTGGTTTTGGGGAAAAACGAAACAGGTCACCTGACCGGTTCCCAGTTTTTCTGCTCCGTCCAGTCCGGTCCAATTTTGAAAACCATGTAGTAAACAAAATAAAGTTTCATTTCAAAGTTATCCTCATAAAAGAATGCGTGTTTTAAAATTAATTCATTGATTCATTCTAATGTTTTGTAGGCCTATGAAAGCTAAGACTCCTGGTGGTGCATCTTAGTTTGTTACTTTCACAAATGATGCTAGTAGAAAAGTATAGGCTTATGCTTTGAAATCTAAAGATTAAGTGTTTGATGTCTTTAAAATTTTTCATTCTATGGTTGAAAGAGAGACAAATAAACGTCTCAAGTAGTGGTGGCAATTGGGCAGGTTGGGTTGGGTTTGGTTTGGGTTGAGCTACAAACCAACCCATCTAACCTGCCAACCCATTTAATGACCTAGTTATATAAAATTAAAGGGGTTAGGTTTAACCCAAATCCGCTTTAACCCAATCCAACCCGCCCAAACCCATTAATCTTATATTTATGGACTTAAAAAATAAACTAACTCTCTCTTAACAAATAAGTTGGTCATAGCTTGGTGTTAAATTGTAGTTACTATTTACACAGGTGGTGAATGTTCAAATCACATTACATGCATGCTATTTTTACATAAGCGGCGAAGCCATTTGACTATGTTTGGATTTCGAGTTTGACCGAACAACTTAGGTTCAATCCGATCAAACCAACTTGAACTATCTAATTGGATTATCTTCGAGCTAATCTCATCAAGGGTGGTTGAACCGTTTAGATCTGGATCAGTCTGGTTAGATCGGATTGGACTGGTTCAGTTAATGGTGGATTGACTTGGACCGGACCACATCAGGTTTGTGCACAGGTTTGGGACCGAACTAGTGGGTCAGCGTAAGTAAATCGGGTTGATCCGAATTCTAGTCAGGTTGTGTGGCTATTAGTGGACCGGACGATCCAGACCGGGCAAAACACGTGGACACCGAACCATCCCACCCAAAACCGTTTTAGATTCGAGTTGACTTGGATCGGCTTGTATCGGGTCGGGTCGGTCTGTGTGAATATTGGTTGGGCCAGACGAACCAAATTGAACAGAGCAAGCAGTACCGAACCATCCCGCCCAGGGTCTATTTCGGATTCAGGATGATCCAAATCAATATATACTGGATTGGGTCAGACCGCATTGAACTGGTCCGAACTTGGGTCAAATTGATTTGGATTTAGTTGGGTGAAGTGCGTTGATTCAAGACAAAACTAAATTTAGTCAATAATTAATAGAAAATTAATGCATTAATTATAAATTATTTAATTCAAATGAAGAAAATTAAAAGAAAAGGCTAAGGAATTAATACTTATGTAATGGTTAACCCAATGGTTATCCACAACCCAACCCATTTAAATGGGCGAGGTTGGGTGATGGGTTGATCACACAACCCGCCAAGTAAATGGGTGGGTTAGATACCGGGTGGATTGGGTGGGTTAGATACTGGGTAGATTGGGTGGGTTCAGCAGGTTGGGTGAAAAATTGCCACCCCTACTCTCAAATGCATATGTACTAACAATAGTGGTGAATATGAAATCAATTTCAGAATTATTATAAGAACCATGACATTCAGCATGGTAATCAGTCCCTAAGAGTCCTTAGAAAAAATAATGTAGCTAAGAGAATGAACCACACCATTTTATAGAGAAGTAGATATATATTGTCACAAAGAAAGTTGTCAAGATGCTATTAGGGAAAAATTATGCATATAGTAGTGTATTTGGTGAATTAATCTCCATTAATTCCCTTGAATGGTAATATTGCTGAAAGAGTATAGATAGGAAGTGACATTTTTCTATGATCATCTTAAGGCGTTTGGTTGTAGAGCCTTTTTGCATATATCTAAGGATGAGTAGTCTAAGCTTGATGGCAAAACCAAGCAATGTATTTTCTTGGGCTATACAAATGAAAATTTTGGTTAGAAGTTCTGGGATTTAGTGAGCAAGAAGATCCTTAGAAGCAAAGATTTGATCTTTCTTGAAGAAAAAATTGAGAACCCTTAAGTAGAAATAGTAAATTTGTAGATTTGGATCCATTTTCTCCTCCCTTGATGTATAGAAATGATGAGGGAGATGTAAACAAGAAGATATAAATTTAAAAAATGATAAAAATGTTCCTAATCAAGATGTCGATGATGATGAATAGGGGGATTGGCCCCCTCATTTACTTAAGAATGTCAACTACAAAACGCCAACCATCAATAAAATTCCACCAGAAGATACCCACCAATTGAATACATAATACTTTTAGATGTAGATAAACCTGAAAGCTTCCAAAAAATTCACGGTAATAAAAGCATAAGAAGAATGGTATAAGGTTACACGAGAGGAGATGAATTCGTTGAGACAACCCAATTAATATACCAATTGAGCCACCACTCGATTGGCACAGGACCATCCTCGCCACTTGCACCCGTGCATTGGGAATATCATTCCATAGAGGGTTATGTGAGAACCAAATCCGATTTCACCACAACTCACATTAATAATCATAGATTCATCTACGAAAAAGTAAAAAAAAAAAAGACAAACTCGATTGATGCAATACTCCGGACTTATGGTGTACAATAAATTTGTATAAGGCTTACGAAAAAAATCTTGAATTCTTGGCATTGCTCAATTTTCGATAGAGGATGGGACACAATTGCTGTATATATTTGGACTTTGTGGCTTGTACAAACACTCAAGCCCACGTATCAAGAGGCCCACTCACTCATCAAAAGAAACAAGAGGCCCACACCAACGACATTAGCCCAATATATTATAGAAAGTTCTAATTCATTCCAACTGCCCATAACACCACAAAATAAAAGAAAAAGAAAAGAAAGGGAAGAAAAATATTTCATGATCACTGATCAGTAATCCAAGTTCCGTCCAGAGACTCTGAATTCTGAAATGTATAACAAAGGTAAAGGAGTTTGGTTCTTAAAGGGGTTGCAGGCAACTGAATAAGAACTCACATTCTTTAAAAAGATGTGCGGTTCAACTGTTCAAGTACAGCAGCTCAAAAGATCAAAAGCCATCAACCCGCTATAACCAACCAGAATGAAAATAAATAACAGTAGCGATACTTCTCCAATCTAGACGCTGGTTACAGAGATTGTAAGTCCATGTAGATCATCTTCGCATCTCATCTCCATGGCTATGAATTTCAAAATTAACTTGATACCCAAGTGGCAAATATGAACATAAAAGAGAAGGGAAAAGTGGAAGAAAAACATAAACTTCAAATTGATATATTGTTTTGAATTTTATAGGGCAGAAGAAGCTTCAAGTTTACCTTGACGAGCTTCTACTACTGGCTTGCCCTGTTGATCTCTTGATGGATTCAATCCTCTGAAGCCTAATCTGCTCTCTGAATTTGGCTATGAACTCGGCAGCCTTCTTGTCCACTTCATTTGGATCGCCCCCAGCCTCAGTGCCAGTGTTGGAGGCAGCTTCTTCATCGGCAAAGCTTTCTTCGTAGTCGTCAGCCTCACAATCAGAGTCTTCATCAGATTCCACAGTAACCTTGTCCAGAAATTCTTTACTCTCCTCTATTTGATATTTGGACAGTGATGGCTTTGGTTTTTCTGTGATAACTGGAAGTTGCTCCGGCCCTCCCACCTTTCTTTTTCCAACCTTGTCATCCATTCGTTCTTCATTGCTTTCTCGAGCTTTCCTTGCCTCCAAAACTGGTTCGCCTGCTTTAATTGTTCTAACCGATCTTCCCATTGATGATGATCTTTCAATATTAGTTCTTGGCCTACCATCAGACTTGAAACTGCCAGACCCCAAGTTGCTTCTGCTCCGCATATCCTTCATCCTCTTCCTATTAAAATCCTTCAATTCGTCTTCCATGCTTCTCCTCACGTCCCTCTTCCCATAAGAAGACCCATCGCTTGCTGAGCTAGAATTCGATGACAAGAATGCAGACTTTCGATAGAATGGAGGTGGCGGTGGTGGGGCGGGAGGGGGAGAAGATTTGTAAAAGCTCTTCTTCTTCACCATTTCTTCCACACTCTTGCCTCGCAGTTCTGGCGAAAGTGAAGGAGCAGGAGACAGCTTCTTCGGCGAGGAAGTCGTTGAACTGGGTCGAGATGACCAAGACGTTTGGGATTGGAAGGACCGTGACTCGAGCGGATCCAATTCAGATTCGTCAACTGAAGGAGGGAGAGAATACAGAGGAGGGGTTATAGCACCTGTTTCTTCCTTCATTTCCATTCTTCCCGACCTAGAACGCCAAGGAATTGGGGATGGAAGGACAACACTTTCCTTCAATTTCTCCTCCAAATCTAGAGGATCCAAACCACCCAACTCCCCATTTCTGGTTTTATTAGAACTCTTTGAACCTGAATTGGACCTGCTGAGCGAAGCCGACGATAAACCATGAGGTTCAACGGTGGATTCAAGAGCATCTCGGTGTGAAACCCGGGATTTCAAGCTTCGAACAGGCAGAAGAAGTGGTTTATTACTAATAGTACTGATGGTACTTTTCTGCTCATCAAGAGCAGGGGTTTCTTGCTCAACAACAACGACGGGTTCCCCACGAAAGTACTGAGAGTTCCAGGTTTGGATCTTGTTCTCATCAGACCCACATGGGCTTTCGACCTCATCATCAAAAACTGAAGAAACCTGAAGAATTCTAGAGACGTAACTTTGAGCACTATCTATTTTTGTCTGGCTTTCCTTCTCTGTTTCGACATTTCGTCGACTAAATAGGCCGTAACAGACGGCAATACCAACAAAGAGAAGATGAAGAAGCTCCCAGCTTCTGGCCAGTATAGTTTGATTGATAAATTCGGGAGCTTGAGACGGGAAAAGTGGAACAACAATAAGCAAAATTGCGACAAGAACAGCTTTATACAGGAAATGAGCGTAGAACTTACTTGCTGCAATTGGAGTTGAAGGTCCTACCTCAGAACTCGGTCGTTGGGGTCTGTAGTGAGAGTCTACATCCTCCATTGAAGAACAGAGATAAGGTTTTCTTTCTCTTGAAACCGGTTTCTTGCAGAAAGGAATCTAGAAGCCAATGAAGCAGAAGCAGATGAAGAAGAGGAAGAGGAGGAAACTTTGAGTCTAAGGAAAGAAAGCAAAAGAGAAAGTTTGGGAGGAGACGAGGGAGCAGATATCAAGCTTGCTTTGGTTTCATGTTAACTGTTTAGTATTTAAATGACACAAATAACCTCTCCTTTAACGCATATAAAAAACTGCCACAATAATCAAATTTAAATTAATAATCTAGAAGCAGAATTAGAATGTAGGTCAGGTAAGTGAACTAGAACAAACTGGATACAGATTCTGTTTATACAAAATTCTTTGACCTTCTGACTTATGGATGGTAACTCAAAATGGGTTCATGTGGTTCTGTATATTACCCTTTTCCACGTGGCAAGTGTAGCCTATAGCCAATTAGCCATCAGCATCCTTTTCTTTTATATTACCCTTTTCCACGTGGCAAGTACCCATGACCATGATTTGAGTCTAAAATAGTTAGTTTGCTTAGGAATTTAGGATAGTCCCTTCCTTCCACATATGATGCTTGCTTAGGAGTGAACCCTTCACTAATCTCCCACTCACCCCCCCCCNACCCAAAAATAAATAAATAAATAATGTTACCAGGACAATAAAGGAATATAAACTCTCAAGATTTGCAGTTGTGGTTCATAACCTTGTCTGTTAAAGAGAAGGGTATTTCTGACATATCAAATTTAAAATATGTGTTGTATTGTTCAGGAGTTACATTTTTAGGCAGAGAATGGGGATGCATTTGGAATTTGGGGCAAAAGAGGGGGGCAGTCAAGTAATCATGTTGCGTGGATGTGGTCAGGATTCCTCTTTTTTATGCGTACGCTTGCTTTTAGAAAACAAGTAAATAGTTCTGTGCTTGCAGAGAACGCTTTTGTTCACTTTTGTTCAAATGGGTCATACGGTGGGAAGAATTTTGGTGTTTAGATGCTCTAGAGGACCACGCTGAGTCTCGTTTATTAAAATAGTAAAGAAAGCTGTGAATCACTGAGTTGTGACTTTTGAAGTTTTGAGCAATGTTTTCATAATCGGAGTCGGACTGGAAAAAACCTGACCGGTTCCATTTAACTCAAAACCGTTTTTTGACCAAAAACCGTTGGTTTAAACAGTAAATTACTGATTCGGGTGGTCAAGCTGCTGAACCATTCGACCTAGGAAGGTTTTTGGCCGTTTTTTTGTGTTTTTAAATTTTTTTATTTCTTTGTCTAAGTGAATTGTCCGTTTGAATCAGACAATTAGACCATTTGACCCAGGAACCAGACCCATAACAGTTTTCTATTCCGCTTATAAAAACCTGAGTTTTGGATGATAAGTATGTATATGTTTGGCACCAGTGCTGCATATACAATACCGTTTTCTGTGTGGGTTGAAAGTATCATTTTCTGAGAAGATGGTGTCTTTTTTTTGTTTGTTTGGAAATGTTACTACCAGGTAGGACGTTTACTAGGACAACAACAACACCTTATGTTTGGTACCAGTGCTCCATATTTGTTTTCAGCACTGGTACCCATTATAGGAAGTCCACATCATGTCCTTGTTGGCAGCAACGAGCTCCAAATTGAGAAAAAAATTTGGGGTTTCCCCATACCACGCCTTCTCGATTTCCAAGACATGGTTTGGAGCATTATTTTTTATGAAAAAACGGTTTCAAGTAGGTTACCGTTTTCTGGAGTACTGATTTTTTTTCAACATGGCGCTGATGTGTCACCGTTCTTGCCCCATAGACAAAATCCCCTACCCCATCCCTCTCCATCCTCGATGGTGGGGGAGGTTTGATGTAAGGCACCAATAGGGAATTTTAGGGTATTTTAAAAATGAAACTATGTAAATTTATGTGTATATTAGAAATGAGATTATGAGATCCTCAGGCTTTGGGAATTTGAGGGAAACTTAGGAACATTTTAGAAATTAACAATAAATCTAGGGGTAATTTAATAATTTAACACCAAGTTTAGAGTGGGTTCGAGGAGTTATATGCTAACCTCATCCCCATTTGTGGGCAAAAAGTTTTTTCTCATCCTTATTTAAAATCGAAGAAAATTAGGAATGGCAACTTTCCCCATAAAATTTGGATCTTGCCTTGCCTTGCCCCACCCCAAATGAGACAAGTCCCTTGATCTTAAACAGGGACAAGGAAAATATCTTTACCTCAAGTCCGGAACAAGGCTGGGATGTGATTTGCATATAATTCCCTAAACTCGACAGTTAATTATTAAAATATCCCTTAGGTTTAATATTAATTTCTAAGGTACCCCTAAATTCCTATAATCTCATTTCTAAAATACTCCCAAATTTCGATGTATTTTTAAGTGACTGCCTTAGGATGAGGAAAATCCGAGAATTCGATGTCCCCAATGAGTAGGGGTAACTTGCACCTGAACTTGCCCTGCCACTAGGAACATACAGGATTGTGGTGGAGATGGGGTAGTGGATTTTGGCTACAAAGTAGGGACAGGGATGGGGTGCCCCACTCCAAACCCACCTCGTTTCCATTCCTAGGGAAAATCCACCCCATTTGGAGTGGGACGAGAATTCAATTCAATGGTGAAATTGCCATCCCTATGACTGACCCAATTTTGTCTCCCAAATGTGCTATATAAATTTTTAAAAGATATGCCTAAAAATCAATATTAGAAACACAATTAATTAACATGTTTGGTTAAAATATTAATTTCCCTATTAATTAATTTTTGATTAAAACATTTTATGTTATATTTTCAAATGGATTATGTTGTTTCCCCAACTTTGCGTGTGATTTCCCAAAGAAAAGAAAGCATAAGAACAAATGAACCAAGGGCCCGAAAATCAATACACACAAGAAGAAGAAATTCATGGATATACTTATTGAAAATTTTCAAAAAAAAATGGCATTATGGGTGTAAACGGAATGAATTTAAAACCAATCAGGCAATGTCCGAATTTGAATTCGATTAAAAAATTCCAATATCTGAATTTGATTCGATATCCGTCAGATATTGAAAATAAAAATTCAAATTTGACTTCGATTAAATATTCGAATCGATTTGAATTCGAGCAATTAATTATTTTAGGTAATTAATAAATATATAAAATAAATATTTTATTTATATAAAGTATATAAATTATTTCATATATAAAATATTTAAATATTTTATATATTATATATAAGAATTAAATAATCAGTCGAATTCAAATATTTATCGGATCGAATCAAGTCATATTCAAATTCGACTAACTAAATATTCGAATTATCTTGATTCGATTATTCCGAATCTTAAATTGAAAATCAGATTTCCAAATACTGTCGGCACCCCTAATCGGCATTCTAAATGAAATTATTTATATAGTATTAGAAAGACAAAGGGGGAGGTAATTCACATCTATGCCCCAAAAATGTTCTACAACACATCTCAGCGTGCATTGAGAACATCTCTCATACTTGTCATTGAGAGAAATGGGATGTGATGTGGGAATGTGGAGTGCTATGAGGCACGTCGTGTGGGGCGCCCATGTGAACTCAGGGGGAATGCAGGTGATTGATGCCATTGCTAATATTCTTTTTTCTTAGATGCTAAAGTAGGTTTTGGTCATTTGGATGATATGCACACGCACAGACAAGGCCTTGTTGTGGATTCGAGTGGGTTTTGGTTGATCTTCGCCAGCACTTGCGTGTTTGTCTACTCATGGCCCATTACTACTGAATTTGTAGGGTTGCATTCAAAGATTACCAAAAGTGACCTTATCACTTTGATTAATAAAGTATAAGCTTATCCATATTCATCTATTGCTTCGATTTTCAAAACTATGCCACATTTCAAATTATCACACGGCTCCTATGTATAATATAGTTTTCAATAAAAATTTCACACAAAATAAAAACAGACAACCGAAATGGCAAACGAGTCATGAGAAGAGTAATATTCTTTCTTTTTGAAGAAATCAAAAGAAGCGAGGTGACAAGGTATCTCTTTCTTTTCTTTTCGTGCAGACTATGCCACCGACCCAATTTACCCAAAGGTCCCAAACTACATTTTTTGTCAAGACTTGCTATGCTGTTCCGGGAGCTTCTACTTGCTATAATTTTGAACAAACAGAAAAGCAAATGGAAAATGTGAAAATATAAATTTATCAGTCCATATATCAAAATGGTCACAAATCGCAAGCTCGATATAATCATAAGAAGAAAAGTCCTGATGATTATGGGGTGGTGAACCGAAGTAACATCCAACACTCCCCATCAACCAATACTAATGAGTTTGAGTTTGATTCGCCACTAGGCGGCAGCAGGGCACCGGTGTCAGCAACCAGAAGGGAGCTCCGGCGGTGGGTGCCGGTAGTGAGAAAAGACCAGGGCCTGACAGAAGGGTCGAATCAAGATGTCAGTTCAATGGGCTCGGTCTAATGTTGACGTGGGTTTTGCTAGTTTTTTAAATCCTAATCTTTTAAATCCAGTTTATTTATCGGTAAATAAGAGGGGGAAAGTTGGTTAATAAGTATCTTTTTTCCATTGAACAATTTTATAGTGTTTTTTGCATTAAGGTCTCGTTCCATTCACAGACTCTAGTAAGGGGAAGTGATATACCCACGTTCTTTTTGAAAATTTAAGTGGAACCCATGGTTAATATATTTTCCTCAGGTAAATGATACCTCAGAAAATGTTACCCTTGTCACATTTGAAAAAGTTAACTTTCCTGAGTGGAGAGTAAATGCTTAAAATACAATCCACCAAAAAAAAATATCTATTCAAACAATATAATCCAAAAAACATGTACTTGGGTCTAAGGGTAAAATGACAAAAAATAGAAACATGAACCACTTACCCCGAAAAATGTGGGTGAGATAGAAGAACATGAGAAGTTGAGATGCCTCATTTAACTGGGTAAATTTAACAAAAAAAAAAAAAAATACAGAGATAAGTGCACTTATCCAGGTAAATGGTCTTTCGGTAAACAAACAAGGTCTAAGTACAAGGTCACATGGTAAAGAGAATTTTATTCACTCGGGTATAACTTACTCCATTTCCTATGTGGATAAATAACTTTCTCGTCTGAAAAAAATAAAAAGTTTATAAAACATAATATGACAAAATTATTCTTTTAAACATTTGTTTTTTATGGATAAAAA